GAAAAACAGAGCAACAGACAAAGCAACTGCTGTTGGAGAGTTTGAAACGTCACGTTTACCTTCACAAAAATCATCAGAAATTATAACATCTGGTAAAAACTGTGAGTTTGTAAAACTCTTTCGCTCATATTTAATTTTTACCATAAAATACAAAATAAAAGTAAGAGAAACAGCTAAAGTAAAGTCAATATTTGAATGTCATCAACCTCGCCCTTAATGGGTAAAATATTAAGTCCTGTATTATGAAGTGAGAGGGATGCTGACTTTTGGTAAACACACGGTGACCAAGACAATGCCTTGCAGGTTAGGAAAGGACTATGGACAAATGTCAAATTGAGGCTCGGTAAATGATCTGGGTGCATGAACCAGGATGTAAGTTAATTATTTCTGAGTCTGAGAGCTGAAAGAAAAAGCCACACAATGTTTAAGGATGCATTCTGCAGTTGTTCAGATTTCTTTTGGGCAAATATATTTAGGGCAGGAAACTGGGTCAAATGCTGATTATCTTAAATCTCTGAGGTTGTAGAGGGGTCTACATTAAACCAGAGATCTTTTCCTCTAACTCATCACCGATCAGTCAAGACAAGTATTAATTCTTAGTGTGTGTTTATATAAGTACTAAAGAGTAAACTATACTGGGACCCCCCAGGTTGAGAATCAGTGCTGTGAAAAACACACAAGCATCTCTCAATGTCAAAACACAAATAAATCAAATAAGTCAAAATAGCTGCTGTGAAAAGGCCTGGATGGGATAGTTGCTAATATCCACAAATCAAAATACAAAATAAATTCTGCTTCCTTAATTATTACAAAGTTGATTTTTATCCTCCTTAGCCTTCTTATAATCTTTTACTTCAGCTAAATTTCCCTGACACTCTTACTCTGTTATTTCCTTGTGGTGCTGCACATGTTCCTGGTGGTGGTTTGTTTGATTAAGGTTTATTAAGGTTGAGGTTAAGCCTGATTATGCAGTCTTGGTTAAGGGAGGAAATTATTAAGTTCTGATGTCATAAAAGTCGAAATAACAATGAAATAACATATCAGATTATGGAAAGGGAGGACAATAGAACCTAAGTCTGTGACGACAGTTCTACGTCATTGACTGTTTCTGTTTTAGAATTTTAAAGTTGAGTTTGAATGAATGAAAGAGGAGTTTGAAATCTTATTCCACTATTGTAACTTAGGATATTCAAGTGATATCTCAGTATGCTTTCAAGGACTCAGGAGCTGTGCTTTTGCGAGTTAGATCAGATGGCCTTTTCAAAGCTGTGTGTTCTTGGGGCCTTTAGTACAAAGCATGTTCCACATACCTAGGATATATTTTGATGAGCTGGCTTCACTGAGCCTAATACTGACCTCCTGGATGACCTGTACTATGTAGCACATTATCAGCTATCTCCTTTTTGTCTTTTCAAATTGGCAGATGTTACCTTACCTGTTCAAGCTTTTACAATGTCATAGACTGCCTGTGGGGGGAGCTCTCTCATCTTTAAATCAGGTCAGTAACAGATGTTTCATGGGCATGTGTGTTGTGTAGGAGAGCAACAGCCTTGTGTGTTCCCCCTTGCACATTTAGTTAAATTACTTACTAAATATTAATTTTGTTTATCCTCTAGAGACAAAAATCTGATCATCAGCTGGAAAGTTTATGAGGTTATGTGAAATCGAGTGACGCAGCTGAAGGGAAAATAGTTTTTACTTCATCCTCTGAGGAGTATCATTATGTTTTGAAAAATCAATGTGATTCTGCATGTACATTTTTAATTTTAATTTTGCATGGCCGATGTGGAAACTATGGTCTGATTCTGGTGATAGTGGAAAGAGGTTGGTAGAGATTTAAACTACGATTGTTACTAAATGTTAGATCATCTGTAGAGTAAGAGCCCCACATCGATCAACATCACTTCCCTCAGGCCCCGTTACTATCGGTGCTCCTTCAGCTGGAGTCACAAGGTTAATTTGCCAACATTAAAGGTTTTCACCATAAAACCTTGTGCACCACTATGTGTGTAATAACCCTGCTCCACGTTGCCCTCCTTCTCTAATGGACTCAACAATGGGCCATTATCAGGCCATACTCATTCTCCACATTGTGTGACACCACTGTCCACATATTGATCCACTCTGTACATGAATGCACATGAGTGCATTTACAACCATGACATTTCTTTGGGTTGCAACGGTACAGAACATTCACAGAGATTTCTTTTTGTGTTTAGGTGTAATTAATAATGGAGAAGGTAGACAGTGATAATAGTTCAATGTGTGAAGAGAGTTATGGAGAGATGAGAGAAGCTTTGAAAAGAGAATGAGGCTTTAGCTTCACATTCGATGAGGGAGGATATTTTGATAATTGGCTAATTGTTTTCAATATTTTTCAAGGTATTTCTTATATTGCCTAGTTCCAGGTTCTCAAAAACAGTGGGTTTATTAACAATAAAACCATAAAAACCACACACAAACACAGACATCCATCTATGTATATAACAAACGTGTCTTTTTTGGCTCTATGTTCACAAACCAAAACTAATATTAGCAGTTTGTATATGTCTGCTTCGGCTTTTGGAAAATCGCAATTGACATTTTTCATTATCTTCTGACATTTTATAGTCCAAACAATCACTAGATAAATCAATAAAGTAATCTAATGAAAGCCAGTAAAGTAATCGTGTCTGATAGTGAAGCTCCCAGCAGTGATCATAAAGGTTATCATGAAGGAAGGAGTCGTTGAATGCAGTTATGCCACTTCAGTAAATGGGAATCAGTTGATGAAGTGACTGCAAATGTTTCCAGTGTGAGATTACTGCCTATCTTTAAGAATGCACATAATGAGGCACATCTGCAGAGTGTGACTCCAGCCCTTTTTGCACAGTCAACATTAATGTTTCAGGGGTGAGAAATCCTTGTCTAGCTCATCTGTTTTTGTAGATTGGCAAGTTTGACTTTACAGAATTATTTTTTTTTTTAAACTTGGCTCATGTCTCTCACTTGGATTGATCTCTTTACCAGATCTAAAGTAGATCCTGTGTTCAAATAGCCAGAAAGCCGATGCTTATCAGCTGGAATCTTCAATTCAAACCTGGAGCCAAAACTACATGCATGTTTGGTTCTTTTCTGATTATCAGATAGTATGTTTAGAAAAGTGTGTGTTGATTTGTACTCCTTTTGCACAGAAACGTAGACCTGAAATACTTAAGTCTGTCCTGCAGAGGGCAGCTGTTTTCCTACTTGGCCAGAGGCAGGCTGTTGAAGAACATTTCAGCAGGAACATGGTGAAATGAAGACTGTCTGAAATATGTTTTATCATTGAGAATCTTTATTTATATTAATAGAAACAAATTGTAATTTTATCCAGTGGTTATATATTGCTTATCTATGTTTCTAAGTAGGGCTGAGCAATAAAACAATATCAATTATCGCAATTTGAGTTTACATCAATAGCAATTTCATAAAGGTTCGATATATATTGAAATAATGCTAAAACAGTGAGGGGGTATAACACATAATTGATCTACTGATTTGTAAAGATTTGTAAAATGTTTCGCCGTTAATCAAGTGTCATTCTCTGCACATAAAGAAGAGTTTCAAGCCACAGCCCTCACTCAGGAGCAAAAGTCAGTCTTTAAACTTAACAGAAATAGTAACGTGAAATTCATTTTTGACTATTATCAATACTGACTCATATGAAAACTTTTATCTTGATATAATTTTTGACCATATTTTCCATCCCTACTCTTTTTTGAAGAAGAGTGATGTTGCTTGTGCCCCACAATGAAATCCTGGCACGCATCCTAATCAGCTCACATTACAATATACTGAAATAAAACGTTCTTTGAATTTACTTGATTTTAATGTGTACAACGTGTACACATGATCAGAATGTGGCCAACTGACACATTTCATTGATATTGAACTGTTTACATAAATCATGTGAGTTCAACGTATTATTTATCAGTTACTGTAAAACCCATTTATCATGTGATGATACGGTTCCATCATGTCTCAGGAACATGAATAAGGCAAAAAATGAAAATGTACTCATTATCTTCTCACTGCTATCCCGATGGAGGGGTGGGTGAAGTGTTTGAGTCCACAAAATACTTTAATCACAAGCTCTAGCAAGAACTGCAGGATATCAAGGAGGATATCAATGGATATTTATGCTAAAAGCACGGTGTAAATGATCCAGTTTCAAGTCAAATTTGAATTTCTGAGCTTACAGACCCTTGGCTGACACCACAGGAGCAGTAGGGAGGCATGCTGTGTTTTTTTCTGGTTTTTTTTACATTTGAAGAATAGGTTTCCATTTAATTCAAGTGTATTGGATTGGGCTGCAACGCTGTTTACCCCTGAAACTCTGAAGGTGTTTTATTGACTCAAACACTTCACCCACCCCTCCATCGGCATTGTAGTGAGTAGTGAATTTTCATTTTTTGGGTCAAATGTATTGGAACCATTGTTTCCAAATACCCATATAGACTATATTTAGTAGGGATTCTTGAATAATCTTGAATGAGATTGTAAATCATCTCACATGTAAAGCATCCTTGGGTCCCTTGCAAGTCGTTATACAAATCTGATTATGAGGTTTTTCTATTTCCAACATCTATTTCCCACATTTCAGTTGAATCCTATGAGACTAAATCCTCACCACAAACGCTCCACTCCAGCATCATGCTTTCAAAACAACATTTCTTTGCGTCATGCCGACGCTGGTGGTGACGAGCTGCTCCAGCACAGCACACTCCTCCTCCTGTCTTACCTTTGCTCCCCAGTCTCCTCCAACTCTCCCAGCAGGACCACAAGATGTGGATGTGATGCTCTGACACTCACACGCACTCACCAGGCTGCAGGACAACTTTACGCAGCACCCAGTGTATTGAGGAGTGTGTTTTGTTTTGGAAGTACCTGGCAGTAACTCCAGACTGAGAGGGTGTTGCATTAGTTTAGTGGGCCAGTGTGTTTTGTTTTTTTACTTTTCTTTTCTCTGTTTTCTCCCTGAAGCACCAGACACAAGCCAGCAGCCCTGTCCCGTGTTGTATTTCCCACATGTCGCGAAAGCAGGTGGATCATGACTACAGCCTCCGTAGTATGAGCAACCTGATGGGCGAGCGCTGGAAGAAAGTGGACGATGGAGGAGAGCGAAGTCTCATCAAGGCTCCGTCCAGCGCCAGCATAAGCAGCCAGGGCGCCGCCGCCGGAGCGTCCGCTGCCAGTGCCCCTGGAGCTGGAGCCGGGGGATCGGCAGGAGCAGCCTCCACCTCCTCCGCCGGGGACCTGGAGAGGGCTGCCCGCAAGCAGTTCCAGCAGGATGTCACGCCGGGCTTCGTCTACGTCCTGGCCGTGTTCTCCGCGCTGGGGGGCTTCCTGTTCGGCTACGACACCGGGGTGATCTCCGGGGCGATGCTCCTGCTGAAGCGGGAGCTGGAGCTGAGCGCCCTGTGGCAGGAGCTGCTCATCTCATGCACTGTGGCCGCGGCCGCCTTGTCCGCGCTGCTGGGCGGCTTCCTCAACGGGCTCTTCGGGCGTAGGGTGTGCATACTGCTGGCCAGCTTCTCCTTCACGCTCGGGGGGATCGTGCTGAGCACCGCCCCCGGGAAAGAGGTGCTGCTGACGGGGAGGCTCATCGTGGGAGTTGGGCTTGGTAAGACATGTGTTCCACCTGCTCTCTCTGTCCCTTCAGTCATAAACAAACTATAAGTTGATTGTTGCGAAGTCCCACTTTAGTCTTTCAGAACATGCATTGGATTATAATCAATCCTACATGCAGTTTAGTCTTGTTTTTCTGAAATATCACCGGTTTAAACACTGACATTAGTTTTAAATTACAGTTTAAAAAGACTTGACTCACAGAACTGAAAAGAACTGCAATCTTTGACTGAATCAGTGCAATCATCACCCTTCATGCTGGTAACACTAATGACTATGTGATATTGATTTTTGCTTACCCCTGCACTTGCTGTCCATTAGAAAGTTCAGAGGTCAGGATCATCAGAGCCATATAGGTCTTAAAACTTGTTTTTGTTCACAGTGGTTTGGTTCGTCACTCTCTGTCCTCCCTCTGCCTTAGGCTTGATATTTTCAATTACTCACAGCTTGTGATTGCACAGCATGTCCCCTCTGCTCACTGTGGTTGCACGCCACTGGCTGGTAGACAACTTGCTGTCTTTGTTATAACTGAAATTGTGATTATGTTTTGATTTGGTTCAGTGCCATTAAGTAATTAAGTCAGTCTGAGTGACGGATAAGAGGCGGATATTATCCCAGCATGTCTAAAGGAAGTCAAAGTGAAACCACGAAGTACACAGGAAACTTTAATTGTCAGTAAAACCACCATCATTGGACATGAATGTTAGAGTTACAGTTATCTGATTGGCTGCTCAGTTCTTTCTTCTTCCCCTAAACACATACTTTTGCATTTTCCCTCTCTACTACTTCATCTCAGCTTTGTTCAATCCCCCCTCTCTTTGCATATCCCTCCCACTGCTGCATAAATGCTTTTTCATGCGACATGCCTTTTGATCAGAATTCAATGTTACTCATGAGTCACATCCTCTGTGCAAAGGGCTGTTAAAACTGGCTTTCCAGGCTGAGTGCCACATGCTGACGGCACTTGTCCAACGCACTCCTTTAAGAGTATAGGAAGAGCTCTTCTCTGTGATTCGTGGAGGGATTATAAACTGGTTTCTCGCCTCAATCAGTCTCTGGAATGGGAGAGAAAGGTGACCAAAGTGAAGAGCTCTGTGTGTACTTCCTCTACAAGCTTGAGTCCTTGAGTATTGATGTTTTGCTCAGAGATGTTTCAGGGGCATTTTTAATTTGGATTTGATTGTATGACATATAATCCTTCCACATCATAATTAGCATATGTTTGTATCTCTGGGATCAGGAATATGCAGATAATGAGTGTTTCCCGGTTAATTTTCCACTATAGTTGGGAAGACGTGAGGGGGTTACAGCCAAGTGGCTGCATGGGCAAAGTAGGAGATGTTGATTTAAAGCAGAAAACCAGGAATGCTTGTGCCCATAATGATTTTGAAATGCATGTTGGATGCAATGTAATTCTCTTCTTTGGCCTGGATGTGAAGGTATAGTTTGCTTTTGATTTTTGGCAGCTTTTTTGCCTGTGGGGTTCAGCTATGGACTTATAAAATTAATCACAGAGCCTCAACAGCCCAAGAGTCCCATTAAATACAAGCAAGATCGCAATGTTATGTTATCAAAGTTTGATCCGGAGCTGCACCCAGTTTCAAGTGTTTTTTTTGTAATCTCACTCACAAACACAAAAACCACAAATGGACAGTGGTGAAAACAAAACCATCTAGCTGTAGGTAAATATCCTATCTAAAGCCTTCCTCTGGCCTTCTTCAATGACAAGTCAGATGTTAAAATTGCTGCGTCATCCTGATCCTTATAGTTCATTTTTAATCCTGGACATTTGAAAGTGCCACTGTCAATTGAAAGTGGCAGGAAGTGTGGTAGGAACTTTAGGAAGCATCAGATACCGTGTATACACAATGTAAACGTTGTAACATCAAATGATTTCATCTGCTCATTTACAAAATCACATTAAAAAAGAGCCTAACAATAAATCTTAAGGCCAAGGGCTCCCATTGGCTCCAGGGCCCTGCATGTGCCTGATATCCCCATTAAGTAATCCTTCCCAGGGGTCAGCTAAAACTTTGACAATACTACATGAAAACTTTGTGTTTCTTCTGATGGATTATTATACAGCTTGGGTCAGTAATACGTCTGTGTGCTTTTTGTGAAGGGTGAAAAATTAGCCCTGATATCTTCATCTACGCTGTGAGACACCCTTGACAAAACATTTCCTTTTATACTAAAACAGTTCTTAAGCAAAGGTAGCTTTGTAAAGACAACTGCTCTGGCTGCTGTTCTCTTTCTTCTCTTTTATTTTCACTTTGCTGTAGGGGAATTCTTCAAAAGTATTTTCTCAGTGCAATCAATCAGAGCAATTACAGGGCATTTCACAAAAACAAGCTTCCTCCTGTTGGAGAACTGGTGCACTTTATTACACCAAACTGCTGCCACTTTTTTCTGTCAAAAGTTGTTGACATAGTTGATTAGACAGATGGCTTAGATCAGTCTAATTATACCAGTTCTCTGGAATACAGAGATGTGAACATGTTTATAAAATCTGCCCACCCCTTGAATCCCATCCATCGTGTTATCTTCTTGCACTTTCCATCCATTTGAATTCGCACATAATGAACCAGAATGAAATCTTATAAAGTGCAGTTTAATTTTCACGGGGGGGGGACTACATTACATTACAATATTCTTTTTACTGTAGATATATAGGCTACTTATCAATGTGTTGGCCAGTAAGTAACAAGAAATTTCAGGGCAGAGAGTGTGGAAATCTGCTACCTTTACATAGTTTGTTCACCAAATAGCACTGACTTGTTGAATTTTTAAGAGTTAATTGTCTAGCTCAGTTTCTCTCATGGTCATAGAAAATAAAAATCTGAGGTTGTTGATGTAAAAAAATATAAATCGACTGACACATTTTTATATCAATTATCAATATCAAATATCAGTATCAATATTGGCTCCAAATATTCTGTATCCATCTTGCTAAATGTTAGGCTAAGATGTTAGGATATTTTAGCTTATCTTAACATTTATGAAGATTTCTCATATCTCATATTTCTCATATCTTGGATGTATTCAGATTTTATACTGTTGATTAAACATGGTTTCTGCAGGTTTTTAACAAGCACAATTTATTATGTCAGTCTCAGCATTGACATTATAACTAACACTGCCCCATGATAAGATTCCCCTACAAGACTTCCTCACATGATAAGGTGAAGTGGAGAATAACCCTCGAAATGCCAACTTATCTCACAAACTTCAGGCAGAGACAGTAGATATCTATAGTTGTTCCCACAGCCAAGCCGAGTGTACTGAGATACATTCCGATGAGGGTGTTTGTAGATTCAGTTATTAATCTTGTTTGTAGTTTTATGTCAATGTGCTTTCTGTATCACTGATGGAACGACAACAGATGGGGACATTACAAATTTCTGTGTGACGGAAGTAGCGTCAAATGACCAATGTAATATTTTAACATATTTAAGACTTTTTAAGGCCTAAGATTCAGATCATTGAAATTGAGACTTTTTTAGACTTTTTAAGACCCTAGGAACACCCTGTTAAATGAAGATGTCCAACTGGACTCACAATTAGTTGTTGACAAATGTAATGTAATGTAATAAGTAATAAATTACCCTGTTGCTGCTCTTGCAATTTATGAATTCCCACTGCTCTGTTACCTCCGCAGTATAAACCTTCTCAAACTGTTTGTGTACCTGTTGCAAGTGGAAACACACTCTCATTATTAACTACTTTAGGCTCTTTGGAAATGTGACACTGTCATTTTCAAGTACACATTGTTAATGGACTTTACAGAGCCAGTTGAGAGACCAGTCCAATAAATAAACTGTGACCTTAACAGTCACAGCGGTAATGGCAGTTTGTTCAACCACAGATAATGAAAGGTGATGGGGGTAAAATTATTTTTTTTTAATATTAAAAACATAATAGGTGAGGAAATGATGCCGCCGTTTCCCGAACAAACACATGAAATGAGTTATGAAAATGCTGCTATCACTTACACACACACACTCTGATTGCTAATACAAGGAGGAAACTAATCACCTGTGTCATTTAGGCTGTTACATTATAATTGGCTGTTTCATTATAAGTGTATCCTCCCCTTTATGCCATCAAAATCCTTTCCCATACAGTGATCTTCATTACAGAAGTATGCACGAGCCAGGCCCTGGTAGATAATGAAACACATTCTGGCAACGAAATTAGCCGCCGGAGATGCTAATAAGGCAGCATTTTTTCATTGCACGCAATTATTCTGGCATTGGCTTGTTACCCGCACACTCACATCAACATGAGCACCGGTTTCTCAGGGAAGCCAAACTGCTTAGCATTTGTGAACTGAACTTGCCAAAAAGGTCAGCAGAGCTGTTTCTCAGACCAGTAAAGGCCATAGACCCCATGACCTGCCTCCCTGTATTTCTACCCATAAGCCTCTGGTATGTCTGCTCCTGGCCAGTTGTTGTCAATCTGACCTTTGCCTAGGCACGGAGACTGTTGCAGACAGTCTGAGCAGACAGTATTGAACCAGAATGGCAGGATTGACATGGATTTATTACATGAAGTGGCAGCTGCAATCAAATTAAGAGGTTTTCTTGCTGAGTATTTGCAGAAAGATGTTTCAATCTTAAAGCGGAAATCTGCTCTTCTTAGCCATCTTGGATTAGTTAATTTGTCATATGCATCATAATTTACTCCAAAATAAACGTTCAGCTTCAAATATCATCCCTCTTACTCAAACTGAATAGATCATGACAATTTTAATGAAAAGTATCATCACAACCAGATCATATTTCTCCAGACAGATATTTCAAAAGACAATTTTGCTGGACAACAGACCCACATGTAGGTTGTACTCTTAGCATTTTAATTCAGGTTGATTTGGATTGGTTCCTATAGCAACAGAGAGTGGTTTATAACTACAGCAGCTAACACTGCAGCTACTTTGGTGTAAAACTCATATTGTTTTCATAAAGAAGTCCAAAAATATTTGCAACCATGATCTAC